TATATATATATATATAAAATTTATCTTCAAACTAATAAGGTTAGCTATGAAAAAGCCCCATGCGGGCTGGGACCACGGCTGTCTTGTTCACAGCTATTATCTCCAGCTCCTAATAAGTGTACCAGCACACAGGAGGTATGCCATAAATACTTGCTGAATAGATGAAGAATGAGGTTAGAACTTGGGCAAAGCACAGTGCCTGGTAAAATGTCATTAGGTCCACCACCTAGTGCCAACACTCTACAGAGCCTGACCAAATCAAAGTGCTGCCCTCATTCTGGGTCCAGTTTCTCTGTTTGCAAAAGACAGCTGGACTAGCTGGTTTCCCAGGCATCCTCCAGCTCTGACAGTTAATCACTGTACTGTGCTTTTTTTGGTGGCAGCACATGCCTAGCACTTTTCTTTCCCCTCCGAGGGAAATCTGATACCCATCTGCTGAAGTAAATTAATGTTCCCATCCAGCCTGACTCACTTGGTAGGAACAACAGGTTCACATGCCAATTGTAAGAGAGAAGGCAAAGGGGGCCCAGAAAGAGAAAAGGGGAAACGGGTCTAACCAAAATGGCCATGTTTTCAGGAATAAAAATAAACAAACTGAAATGGAATCGTTCTGCTAAAAACTCTTCACGTGGAGCGCTCTACTTACTAATTTAATAATGCTTACGTTAAAAGCGGTCTCTATCCAGCCTTCAGTCTGACACCAGTGCTAAGCCCTCTTTACCCCTAGTTCTCACAGCCCTGAGTTACGTACTATTGATATTAAGATCCCTTTTCACAGATAAGGAATCAGTGGGCTCAAGGGCACACTGCAAGCAGCAAAACGAGGTGCGACTTGAGCCCAGGGCTGACTGACCCCAGAGTTCTGCTCTTCAAAGAGCTGTCCCATCTGTTCTGCAGTGCAGTCCTAAGAAGGGGGTTGGGGGCAAGGCAGGGGTTAACACTTTCTGTCTAAAGAAGGAGAAATCGTTCTTCGAGAGGCTTGGGGTTTGCACAAAATGAAGACACCGTAGGTGCCAGCCCCAGATTTGCTCCTGCGTCCCTAGGTGAAGGTTCTTCCCATCCCAAGAATGGGTTTGTTCCTCGACTTCACTTCCACGCTCCCAAACACCTCAGGGCTGGGGGCAGCCGCGGAGATGTGTCCTCCCGGCCGGTGGTTTTATAGGAGGGGAAACCATGGCTCAGCTCCGCGGCGCGGCGGAGCCTCCAGGTGCCACGAGAGCGTGCAGCCGCCGGCGGCCGGAGGGCTCCCTCACCGCCCCGCCAGGCCCCGGACTCCCCAAGTCCGCCCAGACGCTCAGCCCGGGTTAGAATCCAGAGGCGCCCTCTGGATCGGTCGCCTGGACAGGGTCTCCGAGCCCCCCCACCAGGCCGCCTCCTGCTCCGCAGCGCAGCCGGGAGGACTGCGGCGCGCAGGAGCCTCGCCCGCGGCGGACAGCTGCCTGGGGCGGCGCGGGCCGCCGTCACGTGATGCGCGGGGCGGGGGATGCCGGGAGCGGCCGGCCGGCCAGGGTTCCAGACCACCGCCGCGGAAAGGAATGTCTGCCGGGAGCAGGGACGCGTCGGGGGCTGCAGGCGCGAGCCTGTGGAAGGACGATCTCGGCTCGAGGCCCCAGAAGGGCAGAAATAGAATCCAGTGGGCGGAAATTGCAGGGAGGCTTGCTAGGGTCAATACAGAGAATACTGTACCAAGCACGCAGTTACCTGACAGCGCCTTGGGCTGCCCGGAGGTGGAGAGCCTGTTGTAGACGCGCACAAAGGGGCTGAGTTCATTCATTGAACGAACTGACCACTGGAGAAGGGCCAGCCAATATCCTCGAAGTATACATGAGCTGAGTATATGTACAGCACTTAGGATGATGCCTGCCACTCAGTAGATAGAGGGGAGCTTCAAAAAATTCCTCGAAAATGGAATGACGGTACCAGTTGATTTTGTTGCAAAAAAAAAAAGAAAAAGAAAAAAGGAAATCCATGCATTTTTTTCATAATACACATTTTCTGTAAACTTTTTGAAGACCCCTCTAGTGTTAGTTGTTCCTGCTATTGTGTGTACACGAGTTAACAAAGTCGACAGGGTTCCTGTTCTGAAATTAATTCTCTAGAGAAGGTAGACATTAACCGACATTATTTAAATTATAGTAAACACAGGGAAGGAGCCCTAATTAAAAATTAGGGGGCAAAGGAGGGTAGTCAGGGAAGACTTCCCAGAGGAGGAGGGGCAAGGAGAGCCTGTAAAAGCTCTTGGGTTGGTTGAGGCAGAGCAAGATTCCTCTCTGGGGAAATAGAAAACATCCAATTTGTCTGAAGCTTTTCTAGTTAAGGGGAGTTAAGGGTATGAGTGAGGTCAGAGAGGCAGGTAGGGGCCTGATCATGTAGCACTGATAAGGATTTTAAAATATTATATAAGAGGTGGGGCCAGCAGGTGGTGTGGTGGTTGAGGTGCTGGGCTCCCACATGGATGACCAATGTTCAAGTCC